TATCACAAATCATATTTATAACTCATAAAACATAAATGATAAATTCAAAAAATGAATTAAAAGAAAAAAAACGAGAGAGAGAGAGAGAGAGAGAGAGAGAGAGAGAGAGAGAGAGAGAGAGAGAGATGGGAAACAGTTTGAGATGTTGTTTAGCCTGTGTTCTTCCCTGTGGAGCCCTCGACTTGATCCGTATAGTACACTTAAATGGCTATGTAGAAGAAATAACACGTCCGATCACCGCCGGCGAAGTTCTTAAGAACAACCCAAATCATGTATTGAGTAAACCAAGCAGTCAGGGAGTTACACGCCGGATTTTGATTGTATCGCGGGAGTCGGAGCTGAAGAGAGGCAGCATTTATTTCTTAATACCAGCATCTTCTTTGCCTGCAGAGAAGAAGAAAACCCTCAACTACCTCAAGAAGTCTCCCAAGAAAAGCAAGAAATGCAGCTCCAGCGAGTCAGATTTTGATCCTGAAAGTCATTCGGAGAAAAAGTCGTCACGCCGGGAACGGAGTAAAGGGAGAGTCGGAGTATGGAGGCCTCATTTGCAGAGCATTTCTGAGGATTAACTTTTTAAAAGCACTGAACTTTATTTATATTTTTGTTTTCGGTTTATTGGTTTTTGTGGATAGTTTACCTTTTATTTTCATTTTCTCTTCCTATCTGCATGTAATACTAGCAGATTTGGAATTTAATGGACCTGTTTAAAAAGCGAAAATTATCTGTTTTCCCAAAGAAAACTATACCAAAGAGAACTTTTACTCAAGAAGTTGTACTTTGAAAACTTCATCAAGTTGCCATGTAATTAATTAAAGTAACATATATTTCCTCCTCCTTGTAATATTTTAGTTCAAAGTTTTGGCCGCGAAAACTATGTACTCTATATATATTTGTCTGATTCAATATACCAAACATTTCCGAGCTGAGACGGTAAATATGTTGTAAATTCGTCGTTAATACTTCCATGCCACATTTTAGAGCATTAATTACATATTTCTATTCATCCCCAATTCACTTTTTCTTACTAGTTGTCATGGGGGTAAAATAAAAGAAATATTATTTAGTGTAATTGGTGCTAAGCACCATATTAGGCGACATGCAATTATCATTAACTAATCAAACACCTTAAAATTAAGAAAATGTGTCATATTTACATGTCTTATCACTTGCAGTCACCTAGACTGATGTTATAATATATATTAATAACGCTAACGCTATATAAAATTATTCGATAAAATAAGGTCAATTTCATCCCCTCCACACTCAACCCCCACACCCACATGTGCCCAAAGAAATCTTGAATGTTGCTTAAGTTTCTTAAATTGGACTTTGATGATTCGTAGTTAGCTTGTTGAATAGGAAAAAAATAATAATTAATGATTGGTTTAGGTTATTAATTATAAGTAGTATTTATGTTTTCTTTTGACTTTGGATCTAACAACAATCGTGCAATGTTTTGTTTTAACAATTAAGATAAGTCTTTTTATTTCCTAAATACAAGGTGATCAGAGCAAAGCAATCATGGTTTCGCTGGCTCCCATCTTCAATCACAGATGCAATAGCTGTACTGAAATTATGAATATTGCTAGTATACAAATATTTAACTAATTTAACTTATTAAATATTCGAGCAGGCTGACTAAGTTTTTTTTTTTTTTTATCATTTACTTTAAAGTTAACTCGGAGTTACCACACTAACCTTGACACCAACAATTTAACGTTAGAACAAAAGCATTTTGTTGCGATTTCAGGTTCTATTATGAGCAAGCTATATCAATCACTCTTCTCCATCCATTAAAGAAAAAGATGGTGACATTTGATGATGAAGAGACCATTTCGAAGGTCATTCTTTAGGAAAGAAACTTACGGGAACAAGAAGTTCATGTTTTGGATAAGATACCGCTACCTTGGCGCTCAGTCTAGTAGTTAATAATATGTCTCATCAGGGGCAGACCCAGATCATTTGTCTTGTGGGGTCAAAAATGAGAATTCAACAATGTTTAGAACTACATATCATTAACGAAAATAAGTTAATACGCTATTACAATTGTAGCCTACGCGTTTTTATATCCTGAAAATGTCGTATAATTATATCGTTATCAATATTGTTAAGTATATCGTTTTCAATATAAGCAACCAATCTATCACTTAAACATTGATCTCTCAAACAACCACGCAGTCGATTCTTGAAAATCTTCATTGCAGAAAATACTTACAAACAATTTTATTTTAAATCACGAAATTAGACAAACTGACAAAACCTTTACATTTGGTACGTAAAATAACGCATAATTTTTCACTTAAATTTAACATTTTCACCAACCAAAGAAGGTGATCGATGAATATGACACCCAAACATCGACCATATAGTGGTCACTATTATTAATTTTCAGGGATCGCTTGACCTTTGGCCGTGGAAACACTTGGCATGATAAAACCTATAATTTTTTCCATCAATTTTGTCGGGCACGTGATGATTTTCGCCAATTTGAGAATAATGAATTTCAAATCATTGATGAATAGGTAACCTTAGAATAGACGAGTGATCAATGAATTAAATTTTGAACTATGCTACAGTGTTAAAATAATTGACATAATAGTTAACATAATATTACATGNTGTCTCATCTCCAAAGGGTTCGGCTAGAAATAAACTTGAAGGCATTTGTTGTACGCAAGAATTACTTGATATTTCAAAATCGAGTTGAGTTGACGTAACCATAAAGACTAATCCATGAAGTGCCCGATAGAGCTTATGCCTCGAGATAATTAAAAGAAACTAATTTTCACAACGTCACATCGTTAAAGAGCATAATAACTTAAATATTACTTACCAAAGCGAACAACATTGTACTTCACCTATGTATTAGCCTTAATTTTAGTAATGTTATTTATACTTAAATTATTTATTTATTGCATAAATTCAAAGTAGTCGAATAACGACAAAACGACTCTAAACAAAAATATATGCAATACAAGCTGGCAAATCTCTATCTATTTGACACTATTCATTCACATGGATACTCTATATATTGAGACAAAACTTAATTGGGAAGTGTTATGTGTATATAAGTGTACACATTGGGGATGACATAATGTGAGTGGGGTGAGGTCCATATTTGCGGGTTCCACCCCACTCACGTTATGTCAACCTCTGTTTGTACACCAATGTACATATAGATCAATGCAACTTAATTTAATTTGTACACCCACAATTTCTTATTCGTTGATATCATGTGGATTATTTATCTCATTATTGAGATTTGCTTACTTTATTATATGAATATATTTTATATAAATAATTAGATTTTTTTTTTTTTTTTTAGTAATAACTAATAATTTTTACTATTTGCAAGTGACTAAATCCATTTTGTCCGTCGGTAAATATTCATAAAGATGTCTATTTTTTGTTTTTTGCGTTATATACAAGGAAAAGTTTCTACGTAAGTTTCGAGGAATGGTAGAGAAATTGAGTTGCCGTATACGTGTTCTTGAAAATTAATATAGTTTTGAACCAAAAAGTATGGAGGGTTCGAATCCTTAATGCATGCAAGTCGATGGGAAGTGGTGTCTTGTTAATCTACACACGAGTTTGTTTCTTTTAACATAAAGTTCTTCGTTCAAACTCCATAGTAAAAACATACTTATAAACAATTTTCATATACAGGATCATATTCAAATGCAAACATGTAGAGTTTCTATGTACAATGTCTATGTCTGAACAGTGTCCTGAACTATCTGATATTTGTGTGCGCGCTATGGATCAGTTTCATTTTCTGTTCCTAATTTTTAAACCCTTGCACAATTAAAATTTGGAATGACATGAATCTTCATTAAGAGAAGATAGACTATATTTTCCTGATGTACTGTAACTACAAGAAACTGTCTGAAGAGGATGTTTCTCCATAAATTCATCTTCTTGAGGCTGTTGTTGCACTACCAAAACTGAAAACCGAAAATCCGAGGTGGCTAACATGTCTCCAATGAGTCCAAGTTCGGGACTTTCATTCCATTCAGTAAGGCCTAGTAAAAGCTGAGAATCAGGTTCATGGTACTTACCAACTATGCACAAATCACATCTGTCCTCGATTGTTCTGATCACCTTTGTCGTTCCTATTGCATCGCTTACCATTTCTTCTTTGTAAATGACCCTTTGATTTCCAATGGTATTCGCCCGGAACTGATTAACCAATTGTGTATCAATAGTCTTCTCTGTATCATCGTCATACTTCACGTGATCCCATGGCCTAAGCCACATAAAAGTGAGTTCGATTTGTGGATTTTCAACCAAACGACTAGTGTATGCTAGAGCTTCGCAGTCATCTGCACCACCGAGGAATAGCATAGTGATTTGGAACATGGACTGACCTCCCAAAATCGAATGCCTTCCGGCCACCTGTCCACGGTCAACAAGTACACCCACAGAACATGGGGCTTTTTGCATAACATTTTGGTTTACCATTCTGATTGAAGGGGAGTTGGCTCCCACTCTGCCATCAATAGTCCATTGTTTGTGAAAAGGCACAATTACAATATTCGTGTTTTGTTCTAGTGAGATTGTGCAAATATCATCATGCATGCTGGCGTATGGAGCAATTGAGGTGAAGTACCGAACAAACACACATCCGTGATTGCGCTGTGCGAACAAGTTGAAAGCATTGGCAATTTGTTCTGACCAGCTTCTAGAGGTAGTGAGCTTTTTGCCTTTACCAATAGTAGGCTCAAGCACGGCCGCTGCTCTGCCTTTAAGCTCAGTTAGATTCAGGACGAAAACAGCAATAGGCCTCTTTCTCTGGGGGGTCGAGGCTTCAAGGACACTTATAAGAGTCGGGACATTTTCTTCATTGTGAATGCAGACGAGCATCCGGAGCTCACCAAAAGGATCCGAGCATAGAATGCTACTTTTTTGATGACGAAAATACCTTGCTGATGGGTCGTAGAGGTGAAATATCAAAGGTCTTGCAATTCCTGTTACGATCAGCATTGAGATCAACAGAAGGGCATATGCTTCACTGTCTATGATCTGTACATGGCCAGAGAAAGACTTGGTAAGACCACAATGTAGATCAGTATCCACATATATGATTTTGATCCTAATCAATTGACTATCGATCTTCATTTATCAAGGGGTTAGTCATTAATGTGCATTGATGGTTCATTTTGAAAGGTGGACTACAAAGTATTAGACAACATTAAGAAAAATTAAGCTAAAATCTTGTGCGTTATGATGTTCAATCCCATCTAGTTTTGTATACCAAACATGCTAAAACGTTCACAAATAATGATTGACTTAAGAATTCTATTCTATGGTTCGAATGAGAGAGCAAGATGATTTACCCCATCCTCTTGCATTGTAATGTACATAACAGCTTCAATGATACCTCTGCAACACATTATGAGAGAAAGAGAAACAGCATCCCTCAAGGGAATTCTGTAGTAAAGTGCAGGAATTAAGGTGCCTGTGAACTTTCCTGCATAACCAAAGAAGATAAGAACCCCAAATACAGCTCCAGCGCTTCCTTTTTTGACTGAGAATAAGTCCATAGTTAAACCACTGAGTGCAAACTTGGCTGGAACAAGCAATCCAGAATTTATTATTTCGAGCTTATACACCAGAGCAGATCCCAAAGGTGGTCCATCTGGTATAGCCATGCCCAAAATAAAAGTTCCTAGTGCAGCAGGCTGGCCAAGACTCTGAGCAAGAAATCCACATATCAAGACTATTACAACAATGACTATGAATTGGATCTCTTTCATTTGTTGTCCTTCTGGTATATGCTTAGCTAGGTGTAAAATTGTGGGACGAAGCGCAAATACAATGACGATCAGAAAGCAAGGACCCCATATAATGGACCAGAAGACGCTAACTTCAGAAGTTAACGTCAAACCCACTGAACCAATAACCACAGACACCAAGTAGTGGCACACGTCACTAACTAAGGATGCCAAAGTAGCAATCCTTCCGATCTCGGAATTAAGAATGTTAAGGTCACTGAGGAGACTTGTTATTACAGGAAATGAAGTTATTGCATTTACCGTTGCAACAAGAGGTAGAGAAGTTTCGGCTGACTCTTCTAATATCACAAAATGAGGTACAACGAGAATGGCCAAAAGCCCAATTGCTAAAGGCAAAAAAAAGCACGTAGCACCAATTACTACAGCGTTGTTTCCTGCTCTCTTCACCAATGTTAAATCAACATTTACTCCTAATATAAACATATGAAACATGAAGCCAATATCTGCAAATGTTTCGAGTACCAATCTTCCTTCTGGAGGAAATAACTTCTCAGAATAAACTTGAACGTGCCCCAAAAAGGATCGACCCAAAATGATACCAGTCTGTTATTCAAAATCAATACATTAATTATGCCAACAATAGCAGATCAAAGAATACACAAAACAAAAATTAGCATGCTAAAATGATGGTTTATATTGCCATTTTTTAGGTGAAATTGTCTAATGTCAATATCTGGCCTCAACTTCCTAAAGTTTACATTAATATATCATTGTCTCCAATAAATTTAGTGTTTTTTTTTTTCGCTACTTTAGCCGGTTCATGGCTATATCTAGTGGACACTTTCTTTGAATAAACGAACATGACACTACAAATACATTAGATGAGGCCTGGCATTGCCTTGTCTATAAATCAAAAGAAAAATGCAATAAATATGTCAAAAAGCATTAACCAGAAATACCTAAAGAGGGAGGGGCTTACGATAAGTTGTGCACTGACCATACTCTGTTTAAGAGGTTTGAGAATTAACCAAGTTATACTAGCAACAGTTGTAATTACAACTAACTGTGACAATAGAACTGGTAAACTAAAATTAAATGGATCTCCCCCAAACCATAGACAGCCTTGGGCATTGGTCAAGTGCATATATTGGCACACCAATACCTCGTCCGCATATGGACCTTGGATATTACCTACAGAAGATGAAAGTCTTTTAGACATTTTTAACTAGTTACTGTGTACAAAATCTGAGAAATCTCAAAGCCCAGATGAAGAAAAAGCATAAAGACGGTGAAATTATTAAAATTTTATCCAAAGGAGGTGAAAAGAAAGAAGAAAAACAGGAAAAATACATTTAAGATACAAAAGAGTAAAGAGAGAAAAGGAATGAGACAAAGAGAGAGAAAGGGGGAGTTTGTTACCTCGGAGTTACACTTTTGTTGCTTCACATTAAAGTTAGCCATACAAGAAGGATTACCATCCAAGAAACAAGCTTTTTTTTTTAACCCTTTCCACCCCCACCGTTGCTCATTTTTGCTAATAATAGTAAAATGGAAAATTTTCCAATCTAAAATAAAGCTAGAGAGAAAAAATATGTGAAGTAACATTTTTCAACAATGCTACATTCGGTTTGGTATCGTATCGCTTTGTATCATACTGTATTGTACCATATGTACTGAGTGTATTCAATATTATGTTTGCTTTTGTAATCTAATACAATAAGTTGTATTGCAATAATTACCTTTTTTTTTAAAGAAACAGAAGAAAAGACCAGAGTTGTAGTGATTCAACACATAAGAATCTATAACCACTATAAGGCGAAGCCGATTTGATATTTCCCTTTCTTTTTTCACTCATTAGGGTCCTAACTTAAATTGAAATAACAAGAGCAACAACATGTAAGCTACTCATAATCATGATACTGATCAATGATCATGAATGGTCGATGAATACAAGTGCATTACTCGAAGTCTCGATTTTGATCATGAACTGTATGTTATCCCATCCGGCACTATATCTACAATTTGCCATTGATATATGAGATCATCAATTATATAGTACAGAGGTTTATGGCCAAAGACAAAGAATAGCAAGGAAATATGTGAATCCAAAAATAAAGAAGAAAAGAAAAAGAAACGATGCTCGGAAAGATGAAATTAGCTTATTAATTTGCATTGCAGTTAATGATGATGAATATACAGAAGGTTGGTGAAAGCTCTCAGACAACTAAAAGGATTGTGCATTGAGTAATGAATGGAGTAAATTGAGTCTGACACAAACGTTAACCAAAAATTTACAAAAGAATGTCACCATGGCATTAATTAAAGTTTGTATAAACCACAAAAAAGGGGCCTTCACTGACGGGAAAGGCTCAAAATTCCATTTGACTGCTTGAAGATCCCATTATATATATATATATATATATATGGCGTGACATATTTCTTGTGGATGTACCTATGACTTGATTCTTCTTAAATGAGTCGACTCCTCAGGGTCCTTAAGTCCCCATACTTTAATCTGTTGTTGCACCACCAAAACTGAAGCTTTACCCTTATATTCCGAGTCTGCAAGCAGTTCTCCTATTGATCCTAACTCGCCACACTGGTTCCACTTAGCAAGATGATCCATAATTGGTGATTCTCCGTGACGTCTGCCTACCATTACAAGGTTGTAAGCATCTCCAGTTGATCTGGCTACCATAATTACATCCCTCCCATTTTTCACCATTTCCTCCTCGTATACTACTTCCTCAGTCTCAAACGTTCTTAACTTGAAGCGGCTCAAAATTTCAGCATCGAGCATTTTGCTTCTTTCCGTTCCCTGAACAATATCACCTGAACCGGAGGTTATAAATCGAATCAAAGTCAGCCTTACATTGGAATGCTCTGATAATCGTAATGCATATGCAAGTGCTTCTCGATCATCTGCACCCCCAAAAAATAGTACCACCACTTGATAGGAGGAAGATTGTGTTATTACTTGATTGGAATTATTTAAAATTTCGTAATCGATGAGAATCCCAACAGAACAAGGAGCCCTTTCAAGTACACTTTTGTTCAGTTGCCTATATGCATAGGATGATTTGACCGTCTCTTCAAAGGTATATTGCTTTTGAAATGGAAGTATAATGAGAATGGTTCTCTTTTCTAGAGCCAGAGAGCAAACATCGTTGTGCATTGTCAAATAAGGAGAGATTGCCTTGTAGCAATGTACCACGAACAATCCAGAATCCTGCTGTTCAAACTTTTTGAATGCATTGAAAATATGCTCAGACTCGGTCCGGTTTGAAGACGACCTCCCGTGTTGCCTATGAGCAACAAGTAAAGAAGAGGAACGACCCATAAGCTTCACGAGGTGGAGGATGTCTAAATTAATAGGACTAGTTTTTGTGGGATTGGAAACTTGAAGGAGGCTGGTGATGGAGCGAACATTTTCTTGGCTGTGTACACATGCAAGTATGCGAAGCTCATCATTGTTTGTGGAATGTAGAAGTGTCCGTCTCTTGTAAGCAACAAACCTCTTTGAAGGATCGTAAAGAATCCTCACTATAGGTGAGATTACTCCTGTTATAGTAACCACTGAGATTATCATAACAGTATAGATTTCCCCTGTCATGACCTGCAGTAACAGATAAATTATGAGTTTTTCACAACAGAAGAAAAAATAATAATAACTGCTTTCTATGTGAATTCAATACCCTGTACGTAAGTTGATTAGAAATGCCAAGGTTAAGTGTTAGAAGACTTACATCCTGGTTCTTAAAATCATTCAGAAAAGCAATTTCAACAATGCCTTTGGTGTTCATGATCAGACCAAGAGAAAGAGCATCTCTAAATGGCATCCTACAGAAGATAAGAGGCAACATTGTCCCCATAATCTTTCCAATGAAAGCAACAAATATAACCAACTGCAAGACACCAACATTTTTCAAATTCTGTATGGAAAAAATATCCATTTGTAGCCCACAAATAGTGAAAAAGAGTGGCATGAGAATAGTGACAAAGCAATCAAGTGTCTCCACTAATGCAGCTCCTAATGGTGGTCCATCTGGTATAACCAAACCGAGAACAAAGGACGCTACAGTGGCATGGATACCGATAGCTTCGCCAATAAACCCAGTGCTTAATACTCCGACTAAGGTTAGAAAAATGTATATCTCCTTAACGGGTCTCCCTTCTCGAGTATGTCTCACTACCCACAGAGCTGCTGGACGAATTACATATATAACAAAGATGATGAATAGAACACCTGATAGCAATGACCCTATGATTACTCTTAGTGATTTTGTTCTGGCAAGATCTGCTGCAAACTTAATAATTATGAAAGACCAAAGGCAGACATCGCATATAACTGAAGAAGAAGAGGCTAACCGTCCTATGTCCGAATTAAGGATCTTGAGATCATCAAGGAAGCAAGTAATAGCTGGAAATGCTGTCATTGATTGCATGGCTACTATCTGAGGAAGCACCCTCGAAATGTCTTTATCCAAAGCCGAAAATTTGTTGAGGAGAAATACAGCAGAAGCCGCAAGTCCAAAAGGAAGAAAGAAGCCTAAGATTCCTACAGACAAAGCCTTCTTACCAGGCCTTAAAACCATGGATGGATCTATTTTCACACCAATTAGGAAAATGAAGAGGATAAAACCAAAAATCGATACTGTATCAAGCACCACTCTAGATTTTCTCGGAAATACTTCATCTAAGAATGTCACATTTTGGCCCAGAACTGAAGGACCTAATATAAAGCCACCCTGCTCATATTAAGATATCAAAATACAGAAATCAACCACATAATATACCATTAATGAATGGGAAAAAAAATCAAATTGCAATGAAGGGATTTCAAAATTAAGACAAAATTTACAACATGATTGGAATTAAGGATAATGCTTACGAAAATCTGAGCAATAATCAAGGGCTGGCCAACAGGCTTGAGAAGGAATTGAACGAAATAAGTAATGACTGAAATGAGGGACCATTGAAACAAGAAGGAGGGAACCGAGAAACGAAATGGTTGATCTCCGAACAATAAGCCTCTGGAGTTGATCTGATTGAGGTATTGGCATACGTAAAGGGGCTCCAAACCCGCAGAATAACTGTCGTTCATCGTATAATTGGAACCAAAATGGAACTGTGAAATAAAAGTACTGTACAATCATGAGAATCCCTCTTTCGAGAGAGAAAACGGGGATGAAATCCGGCCGATTTGAGAGGATGATGAGATTGGTGGAGGAGCATTAGAATTGGAACGATATGAAATGAAATTTGAAAGAGAAATGGGGTGGCAATTGGCATGTGGCACTATTTGTATCAAAGTTGGTCCATGCAGTACTTAGAAGAATAATGGGGCTAATTACACCAAGTTTTGAACAAGAATTAAGCTAGTTGCCACTAGTTTGACACCATTTGAGGTGTCAAAATCGAGGTCATGATTTGAATGAGTGTTGTTAAAATTAATGATAAAATTGTGTGTCATGTCGAAAAGTGTAAACAAAATGTCAATCATGGTGTAAGCATAGTAAAGTTGTTTAAACAATTACGAAAATGATCATAATGGTGATACTTACTCGTTTTTAACTTTTATACTAATGATCATTGGGTCAAAAATATTAACATTAAATCATATGTGACACCATATTATCAAACGTTATTATTTATTATGTCAAGTCAGCAAAATGGGAGAGTTAAGAATTGGGGATTAAACGCATTTAGTAGAGAAAATATTATAGGTCTTTAATTTTGGTCAGGTTTTTGGATTTAAATCGTATAGTAAACCAACATTTTATTTTTAATGATGATTTTTTTTTTACTTTGCGTAATAAATAAAGTAATACTATTTAGCATCATTTTAGATGGCATGTGAACGTCAATAATTGATTAAACAACTAAAAAAATAGAAAAATTAGTTACGTTGAAGATGACTTATCACTTGCAGCCATCTAAAGTAGTGTTATAATATTAGTAGTGTTACTTAACAATACTTTAATAAATAATTGTATTTGGTGATATGTCGATACTTAATGGCGCCACATGAATTAAATGATAATTTTTTTCTTTTTACTTTTTGTTAATTGACCATTAGTGTAACAGTTAAAAACTTGAATGACTATTACCATTAAAAAAATTAACTTCAATAACTATTAGCTTAATTACTCAAAACTTCATTGCCCATTGGCGTAATTAATCCAAAAATAATTATATTTATCTAGAATCTAAATTATCACTGATCTATGTGGTTGTGTGGTTACTATCACATTGTCAACTAAATGTGAATGCATGTGAAAGTGACATCATCACAAAAATAATCATATGTGCTCTAAATGAATAATATGATTCTATTTAAAAACAATTAAATATAAGAAACATTGCACAAACCATTGATTTTTCCTACTCACTCATGGTCCTACTCCTAGAAGTAGTACCAAGTTGGTCCTAACTTTTAAAATGATGTATAGATAGATACTCAACTTTCCTTACTTTCAAATCACATATATTAAATCCTTGTTTGGTGGGAATTAAAATCAAATTTTTAGTACATTTTGATAAAAAATAATGAAAAGTGTGATTGAAAATTGTGAAATATATGAAATATGTAGTTTAAATTAATCATTAATTTTGATTTAAATTAGAATTTTAATTTTAATTTTAATCTCACCAAATAAGGACTAAATAAATATTAAGAAATTTATATATCTCAACTTCTTTAAAAGAATATTGCTAGTTGATCTTCACCGACGCTGGCACCAAGCTACAAATCTTTGACCATTCTAATCTAACATAATCATGTGACTTAACCAATGAACATAAATGGCATTTTTTTTTTTCCTTTTTTTTGGGTCTGGCTTCATTAGTGAAGGTTAGATATATATTTTCAAAATGAAGAGTGGTCGAAGAGGGGTGGGAGTAATTTGTTCAAAATAATAATGATTTCTTAACAATTAGAAGAAAAATTACAAACATTGTTCATACATTCAATAAAAGAATACATCTTTACATAACCAAAAAATCAACTGAAACTATTATATTTTGGCACTTCTATACGATGTCTGTGACATTTACGAATCAAAACAATCAGCGAAATTGTTCTCGTGTCCACATTGGACATGGATAAAACTGCCACTTATTGATGTGACAAGAGAACCTTACTTACAGTTCTCTTCAAATGTGAGAACCGTAAATAAGATTATTTTCAAGTGGGCAAAATAAGACTGCGAGCAGGAGAACATTTCTAAAACAATCAGAGCTACAAAATAAACAAATGAATCTCATGTCTTTTCTTCAGAATAGCAACGACTCCAAGAACGTGTTGTCTCTCGACTCTTCTTTAGCTCCAGAGAAGATAGAGTTTAGTGAATTTCCATATCCCGAAAATTCATAGCCCCCAGGATTTTGCAACATCTCTAGTGTATGAGGAGCTTGAGCTTCGGGTGCTGGTAGCCTAATGCTGCTGCGCATTGACATTTGAAAATTCGAGGGATGAGGCATTGATGAAGGCCAAATAGTGTTATTTGGAACCGGCCTGTTGTTGCCACTACCTCGAGCAGCTGGCACGACGTGGTTGTGCTTCCCCTCGTAGGTCGTTATTACTGCCCTCAGGTCGTGAGATGCTCGCTCCACGTGTTTTCTTACCGGGCACCCCTGGCTCGTGCACTTGTAATAGCTCCTAAACATATATTTGTCAAATCAAAATGCAAATAATATAGAGTTGGTATGTATCACCAAGAATTCATCAGCATCCGGATGACGAAAGACAATAATAATTGTATCGATCAAGAACTCGTGCAGAACGTTTTCAAAACTAAATCTTTCCTATATATTTGGCACGTTGAACTGAACATGACTATACATATATTAGCTTGTTACCTTGGATTTGGATTCCCCTTCACCGCTTTTTGGCCATATTTTCTCCATCTATACCCATCATCTAGTATATCTATATCACTTATGGTTTGAACTACAACTTTAGGTTCTCTAACCGTAGTATTTCCAGTCCCTGCTGCTGAAATCCCTTCACTTTGATTTTCCATTTTCCTGAAAAATTAACATCATATTATGATATTAGACAAGCAGATTCAATTCATTTCCAATTTATGTGCAATTTTGAAGATTATTATTTACCATCTTTTGGCCTCAGGTTCATCTTCATCAAACTCATGATCTCTATTTTTGGGATCAGAACTTAGCTCGAAATCATCATCCCCTACAGAAATTGAAGAATTCCCCGGTGTTGCAACCGAATCCATTTGTCCTGTGCCATTTGAACCATATGACTGTTCTGGGATTTCATTGATTTGAGTTTTGTAAGATTGAATTGCTACTGATGAAGCCGATGTTACTGTTGAGGACGAAGATGATCTCCTAGTGGACTGAGGCTTTGGATGATTATGAGTACCCTTATGCACAATTTCAGTAATCTGTCCATCTATAGATTTCTCAACCTTTTTCTTCGTGGGACAACTGGGATATGTGCATTTGTAATAACTTCGAGGATTTTCGCTTCCTTTTACTTGTTTCTGTCCATATTTCCTCCAATTATACCCATCATCTGACCTGTTATTTTCCCTTATAGTCTGTGAAGATTGATTATTATCCGATTGGAATCCATTAGATATCCCAGGGGAAAACATCTGTATAGAATTTATCTCAGCAGTTCCGTCTTGGTTAGCAGGTTGTTCTTGATAACCCCATGCTTGATGTCCCTGAAAATTTTCAAGAATTTCATATATTTGTACAAGAAAATTTAACTTTGAAAGCATATATTTCATATAAATTTAAATAAAACCTACGGTAGGATCTGGGTTTGTTTGGGTTCGAAAAGAAAATTCCGAGTAGTTTTTGACATCTTGCTGCTGCTGGGTGGTGGTAGAATTACTTTTCCAATTAAAAGATTGAAATGGAAAAGTCCCTGTTGTTGGAGATGGTAAAATCTGCATATTTTATCAACAAAAACGTAAACTTTAGCTTTAAATGATGCAAAATATGTCTCAAAAAAGTGTAAATAAATAATAAAAAAAGCTTACGTTTGATGCAGATAAGAGAACAGGAGAGTCCAAAAGCTCAGCAGGGCTTAAACCAGGTGGAATAGCGAAGTACGAAGAAGGTGATATTGGAAGTGAAGGTGGTGGAAAAGACTTGAACTTCGGAACCCCAGAACCAGTCGTCTCAGCTATCCGATCACCAAGACCTCTTCTCACGGCGGCGACGGGATAGTCATCGGTGGAGAAAGAAAAGGGTGATGTTGATTGTTGGGTTTGTGAATTTGAATTTGCAGAGGTTTCTACACTTCCTGAAGATGCCGCCATTAGAAAGAGAAACTAAAAAAATGGATTGGATTGAATTGGATTGGATTGGTGAAAGAAGAAGAAAGTAAAAATGTATACGTAATTTGCAAAGCGCTCTTGTTTTTGTTCGTCTATGGTTTGACACTACATAAAAATGAAGAGTTGTATGTTTCACAGGTTACGTCTTGGTGTGCAAATTTAAAAAGCGTTGGATCGGAAAGTATGTTGTTTTTAAAAATTGTCCAAATATGTGTCAATTACACAATGTAAAAAATAGTGCAAAATAACAATGAGGATTGAATTGTTGATAAAATAGAATCTTCGATCGCGAACAGTGATTCGATTGATGGGATTTTTGGGCTGTCAAATAAGGAGGGTTTGATTGAGATTTCTAATTGTGGGTCCCAGCCATCCCTCTCAATTTCAATATAAAATTATTAGATACTTCATTAATATTTATTGAAAAATTTAGAAATTGATAATTTATAGGGATGACATTTGGTAATCAATCTAGGTTAGGAATTATTGAAAGTCATTAGTTGGTTTTTATTCTCTATGCCGAAGTTTTCGAAAGTAAAAGCAAAATACAGTCGATACTCTAAAAATTCATTGATTCTATTGAATATTAAAAATTTGATCATAAAATAATCGTTAGTTTTCAAAATAAATTCAAAGCATTGTCCACCATTTGTTCACGGCTCATTTTTAATTAATTCATAATTTTGTTGATAATCTAAAAATTCGTTGATTCTCGACTACTAAAGCCATAAGCGAGCCTCGTCCTAGTATTAGGATCGATGGAGCTGCTTGCTCTGTGAAAGGATTATCCCCATACTTACTTAGTAACTCTATTTATTTAACTAGACACTAATGGTGGTAATTCCGCGCTGAGTTGACAAACCATTTCTTATGGCTCAGTTGCACATCGATCTCTAGAAGCGTGAATCTCGACATCCGGTTTCATCAAGTTAGCAAACAATCCAATCTGGACATCTTAAGTTGAGTATTAGGATATAATCGCAAGGTCACTATCAGAAGTTGATAAGTCGACATAGTTGTCTACTTTTATAGATATGGGTCGAACAATTTATTAGTCATCCAAGTTGAGGTTCCAAATTTGGCCATTTGAAACATCCAAAGTGCAGCCTCCCTGATTAGGTCATTCCAAATTTGGCACTACGTTTAGCACAATTTATAGCAGACAAAACTACACAACAAATTGCTAATGAAACAAAGGATGCTTATATTAATTATAGTAAGTTTGGAGCATACGATAACAAAGGGAGAGAGAGAGAGAGAGAGAGAGACAACGAGGTGATGTCTCATCATCTCCCTTGCCACACCATAAGATAACAAAGGGGAGGGAGAGAGACAACGAGGTGATGTCTCATCATCTCCCTTGCCACACTTTATTTCATTGACAAACCTATAAAATTTCCTATTACCAGAAAATAAAGATGAGTTGTGGATAATATGTCAATATGCTGGTCACCGGAAACCATGTTTTAACTTCACTGTGGCTTTCGCTTTACATCTTTGACATTGTGTAGTCCATCACATCCACGAGAAAATCTATACGAAGGTTAACAGAACCATGTCACTAATTATAAAAACAAGGCATATAATAAGAATAATCTGATGGCACTGAATACTAACCAGCATCGTCCTTGGTGAAGCATAGGGGAGGAGTGATCCTGAATACATTCCCGAAAAAGCCCCCTTTTCCTATTAGTACTCCCATTTCTGAAAACAGGATAAGTTCGTTGATGAAAATTTCAGTAGAAATAAATGAATGAGGGATATTGTGATTGGAATAGAGACAAGTTTGGCACCTTTCATCTGGTCCATTACATGCACAGTCTCAGCTTTAGCGGGAGTTTTTAGCTGACGATCCGTTACGAGTTCCATCCCGAGCATCAGGCCTCTTCCCCTCACATCTCCGATAACTGTAAAAAACATGAATCAAGAGCTAATTTTCTGTGGAAAATTTAAATAAGATTAACACATTCTTATTCTTGTTGTCTTCCAAGTACACGTGCATAAAACTGAAACTGCTGTTAACAATTAACTAATCCCTCACCCCTTCCAGTGTAGTATGAACTGCGAAAATTTGCATATGCATTTACAACATTATTAGGAAAGAAGACTTACTCTCATATTTCTCCTTGAGGGAATTCAGGCGTTGCTTTAGGTGCAATCCTACATTGAAAGCATTCTGCTGAAGGTTTTCCCTGTCTATTACTTTAAGAACAGCATGCCCCGCTGCAGTACACACAGGATTCCCACCAAAGGTATTGAAATAACTTCGCTGAGTCAAGACCTTTGCAATCGCGGGAGTGGTAACCACAGCACCAAGGGGAATTCCATTACCAATGCCCTGAAGACCATAGATCAGAAGATAACATATTAAGTGCAACACAAAGCATGATTCATATGCTTTGGGCAATAATTTACAGGTTCACAACAAAAGATCTCGAAGAAAATCCAGCAGACAATAGACGAGAGAAGAGTCTACCTTTGCCATGGTAACGATATCAGGCACAACTCCATGGGCCTCAAACCCCCAAAAATGGCTTCCAGTGCGAGCAAAACCTGATTGGACCTCGTCAGCTATACAAAGTCCCCCAGCCTTTCTAATGGTGCTATACACAGCTGGCAAATATCCTGGGGCCAACTCCATAATTCCACCCACTCCCTGTCAAGAATACAGCTCATAGCTATAATGAATAATGAAAATCTTTGAGACCATACCTTGAAACCAAGATAAAGCCATGCAAATTACAATTTTTGCCATTTGCACATGAATAAAATTAGCACCTGTATGGCTTCTGCAATAAATGCAGCAACGCGACCAGATGTTCCATAGGTAATCATATCATCTACGTCCCTTGCATACTTCAATCCGTCTGAACCAAAGATGCCCCTGTACTGGTCGGGGTTCTGAGCATGGTGAACTCCAGTCTGTTGTAAAAGAATACAGAGACGGAATCAAATACTATTTACAACAGACTTCTACTTAAGATGCTCAAAGTCTTTTAAAAAGAAAGTTACAAGCCAACTCTCGATTCCTGAAAGATAATAGTTTCTCTAGGTTATGATTAATATCCAACTTTTGACACATATTTAACCACTACTTCACATTTTCCTGCTATATTTACTGTGTCAAGTTCTTTTCTAAAAGAAATGGTTCTGCGAAAGCAGCCTTATGCAACTCTAGTGGTCTAGTTCTCATACTAACATCAACGTCGTCAAATATTGAGCATCAAAGACAAGAAGTTCACAACTACTCTGTTTATCATAAAGGTGTTACATCATTTATTTTGTAAAAAAATCTTGTGAATTCCTAAAAGGAGAGAATATATATACCTGAACAACGTTAAATTTGTAGCTACTTTGAGCAGTGGCTCCCATTGTCCCTGCGGCATTGCCATGATACCCATTCCTAATTGAAATAACATCATGACAACTGGTATACAACCGTGCCATCAACAAAGCCAGCTCATTCGCCTCCGTCCCAGAATTCGTAAAGAAAACTACCTAAGAAAGCAAATCAACCCAAAATTAATCAAAGTAAATCACAAACTCATCTGCTGCTACAAAATGGTAATCAAAAATCAATTCAGTAATTGAATAAACCTTGAGATCCCCGGGAAGTTTCGATGCTAGAGCCTCAGCAAAATCTGCAATAGCATGATTTAAGTACAAAATTGTAGAATGCTGAAGGCGTTTTGTTTGGCTAACAATTGCATCCACTACTTCAGGATGGCAGTGCCCACAATACACAGTGGCTATTCCTCCAAAAGCATCCAAATATCTCCTACCCCTGTCATCAAACAAATACTGCATTTTCCCATCAACCAAATTCAACTGCAAAACACAAAAACACATTCTTGATCACCACACCATCAATGACAACAAAGCAATTCAAGCCCAAAAATGAAAATCTTACTGGGTCATCGTAAAAATGGAAGATGGAGGGGCTGAGGAAAGCTTTTCGTTTCTTGATGATTTCATCGGCGGAGGGACCGGTGTACGGCGGCGGAGTGTAGTCGAAGGGGGGCATTTTGGGAAGAACGGTGTCATCTTCTCCGACGGTATTAACCAAAGTCGAAAATTTTGATTGTGTTACAGCACGAGGGAAGATTGAAATCCTTGCGGACAAAGCCTTTGCCAGAATCCTCTGCATCTTCACGATGAAAACACGTAGAAACAGAGAATGGTAGAGGGTTGGTGGAGACGAATACAATTAGGCACCAGTTTCACTACTATATATAAAGCTCGTGTTTGTTCAGGATATTTTAATTCAAAATGAAACAATCAATATTAACTACATATTTTATGGATTCCACAACTTTTTAACCATACATTTCAAAAACTTATATGACAATCTATTAAAAATTTAATTTTAATCGCTCTCAAACACCTCCAAATAAAATGTATCTCCCCATGTACAGAAAGAAGCCAACCAGAAGTGCACCAAAATACACACATTTGTGCGGACCCCACCATGTATTAAAAAAACAATAATTGCATTCGTATAGAAATGTTTCCACGTAAGAATAATTCTAGATGTACATAATTTTTGTACATAGAGTGTTACATAACACTCACATGGGGTGGGCACCCCATGTGAGTGTTATGTAATACCCCATGTGAGTGTTATGTAACACTCTATGTACAAAAATTATGTACCTCTAGCACTTCCCTTCCACATAAAACCACCGGAATATTCACAATGAGTAGGCCACATCATGTATTTAAAAAAAAAATCCGCGGGACCTACATGTGTGAGTGGCCAGTGAATTTGTGGTGCATTTGCTTCTGTACATGAAACAAATCTCTAAAAAAAATGGCGTGGAACCCACAAATGTGTGTATTCTGATGAAATTCTATGGGCTTCTTTCTATACATCTAGCAAATTTCATAAATAAATATTGTTATAATTGGAAACCTAATGGATCTTGAACTTATCTGTGATTTGTGATTGCATAAAAAGGATTAAAAGCAGAAATAGGTGAGATAGGTATATACGTTTCTGAGTTACATTTATTGACTCGGAGTCGGGTCGGTTACTGTACCGGTTTATTCTTACCCACCCGTCAAACATTTAAGAATTAAACAAGAAAGTTGCAGCATTGATCCTCAACCAATCATTTTTATACTAATATCATCCAGTTGCAGCATTGATCCTCAACCTATCATTTTTATACTAATATCATCCTCAATATTAAAATAAAAAGATTTAGATCCACAAATTTTCAAATTTGTTCCGCAATTATATTACACAAGAGGTGGATTACACTTATTTCTAATTAAAATGAAAAATATAAAAGTAGGGTGCTTGGAGTTGAGAGATTGGAGGTTTGCTATAAATATGTGTAGATATTATTTTCTTCTTTTTAGTTAATTTTTTATACAATTTAAATAATTTTCTTTAGTTAAAATTTCCACTATATCTTCTTGTGTAATATCATTGAATGTTCTAGCATTAAAATACTCCAATTTAAAGATTGAGGCCAACTTGCTATAGAATTCAGAGGTCAGGCACTGCTTCTGAAATTTTTCTAGTTAAGAAATGAAAGATTAGGAATTTTCGTCGACGCAAAATGAAGATTATGGTAAAGTCTGCAAAAATTGAAAAGATTAGTGACCGTTGCTTCAATTTTCCTATAATATTATTCAAGATTTTTTTTTTCGATTTCGATTTCTTATTATTGTTTACTAGTATCAAAATAATGTTACAGTGTAACAATACAGTCGTTACAAAATTGTTAACTATGAATTAGAAAGAAAAAAAAAAATCATACCTACCACCTTCGTTCCATGTGCATTTAGACTTTAGTGAAAATTTCATAATATCTTTATCCTACCTTTCAATTCTCCAGATTCTTAGCAGTCTCTCTCTCTCTCTCACACACACACATATATATGTATATATGTATGTATATATATATATTTTTGGCAGGAATTTTATTTGAAATGTGCATTAAACTGTTACTGCAGACACCTGATTGATTACACAATTTAATTTATTTAAAAGAAATGAGAAAAAGATAAATTTAAAAAAAATAAAAAATAACATATCTTCTTCCCCAATTGGATCCCCACCCCCATGTGCACGGTCGTGGTCAAGTCCAGCCCGGCAGCCCCCCACCCATACGCCTAAAAATAATTGGATTGTATCGATGGTCTAGTTCAAGAGCACGTTTAATTTTGTAAGCAATTCAAAAATTATGTTTAATTAAAGAATTAATTTAAAAATGAATTTTATTAGTACAAGTAAAAAACTATTGTATTATCTCTTGGCCACAAATTTGTTCCTTTTGAACATACATACATTGAACAAAGAATCAATCAAACAAATTAAGTCATTATTTGAGCCAGAGGAAAAATGCATTTTTAAATAGTGATTTTTGGAGAATGTGCGGTTGAAAATGAATTTCGAAAAAATAAGTTCTTTAAAAAATTGAGCTCAAACAACCGTTGAGTAAAGCAAGTTCTCCACGAGAAAGATGCAATCAATCGAACAAATTAAGCCCTTGTCTGAGATAAAAATACATTTTTAAATAGTAATTTTTGGCGAATTTGAGGTTAAAAATTAAGTGAAAATTTTCGATTTACGTGTAATATTATTTTATCTAAAAAAAATGTGTATTTGAAAATGAGTTTCGAAAAAAAATAGATTTTCAAAAAAAAAAATGAGACTCAAACAACCCTGATGAAAATTCGTTAGTTCGTCGCCTCCAAACAATTCTATAAGGTTGAGTGTCTCTAGTGGTTCAAATAAGATAAGAACGGAACCTTAGGTAGCAAGATCCCATTTTTACACCTCCAAAGAAAATCAAATCAAAAGCAATAAAAGATTGCTGTGTATTTTCTTTAGGGGTAGTTTTTATTTTTTAGGCAAATATCTCTCTCTCTCTCTCATATATTAAAATATTTTTTCGATTGAAAACTAAATCAATCGAACACATTTAATTAAAAAAAATTTGTATGCAAATAAGTTTTATGCAATTCAATTGTATATTTCATACAAGTTTCATACTTGTAATCAAACACACCGTGGAATAAGTAATTGGAAAGTTGATAAAAATTTATGAATCATTTTAAATATAAATTTGGTGGAAAAATAAATTGAATGAAATAGGATCAAACATGGTGGAATGTAGAGCTAATTAAAAATAAAGGTTGGGGGCAGAATTGAAACTTCATCCAAAGGTTGGGGACTTTTGCCCTGCCTGTAGCGATCGAGAAAATAAAATAAAATCTTGTGTTTCATTTTAAAATAATTGTTCTTGTATAAATCGAAAAATAATTTGAGTTATATTATTAAGTCGCTACGATCCTTCCTAAGAGTTCAAATAAAATTTTGGTCACGATAATAAAGTTTTGCGCACTTCTTGTTTTTTTTTAATTTTTGTAAGGTGTCGAATTTCTCTTAAAACAATAATTTTTTTTTTTATGTTGACGACACGCATTATATTAATTTTTGCACACATGTTTAGTACTTAAATTTTAAAAAAAAAAATAGATAAATCGGATATGTTGTACCAAACGATCCCTAATTCATCCCCATTTATTTCTTAATTTATTCCATCAACCTGACTTTTTATTTTGCTCTATTATATTTATCATTTGAATCATCCATTAGAGCCATAGCCGTTTTAATCATTTAGAAAGAAAAACTGTCATTCAAATGACAAAGAAACATGCACGTCGCTTTCCACCATTTATACCTATTAAACATTTCATTTACAATTTTAATAACCACTAATTAAAAACCATTATGATAATTATTAAAAAAAAAAGAAACTTCCATTTCAATTGAAAAGTTAGAGTGCACACGTTACCTCATAAATCTACCAATTATACACCTGATAAATATTCCACTTATATTTGTTTTACTCCCATATTGATTATTGCCAATTGCCACTTGCATTTTGTGTTTGATAAGCAACAATTTTCTACAACCCCTAAATCCATGTTTTCTCTCGCAAACTAAAATACTTGTACATAAAATCATTCGCCCATTTTACCATAGACGTAACCGTAAGGCACCTTGAATTTGAAAATTTTTGGAAGGAAAGACTAAGAGTACGCTGCATTTTACTATATATTGAACGTCAAAGGATATTAAAACTCCAAGTGTTTAAGGTAAGGATGTTTACGTTACTTTTGTATGCAGAGTAAAATTATTTGTTTTCGATTTGCATTAACGTGTTATTATTTTGTTCATGAGAGAATGGAAGCACCCTATGAGTAGTTCAAATAAGAGATGAAGAGATGAATTCATGAAAAGGAGTTGTTAAAACCTAAGAATATGTGGACTGCTTGAACACCGGTTCATTTTACAATTGACAATGACACAAATAATCAAAGTTTGTAATTTTAGAAAACACATTTTTTTTTTTATATATTTACTTATGTGTTTCCTACTGAGTATTACTTGTGATACTCACTTCTACAATATTTACATATTAATTGAAGGCATGACGAGGATTTGGCATAGTGGCAAGTGTTTGGCGATTTGAAATGCTTTGAACTTATAGTAAAATTTACATTCATGTAAATCT